TGTGACTGTGCCATAATCTAACCAAGCATTGCTAGACCAATCATTTTGGATAATATTATAGAACAGTTCTGAACAATGCTGCATAAACATCATTTTGTAGATGTCCTCCTGAACAGATGCTACTATTTTTATGGGAAGATTTTTTTCATGTGAAACCCTAAAATTCATATGTCGAAGCTCTAATCCCCAGTGTGACTGGTTGGAGAAAGGGTCTCTAGGACTGTGGCCCTCATAAGAAGAAGAAAGAGATCGCTCCACCATGTGAAGACATAGCCAAGGGGCATCTGGCAAGGGAGCCAGCACCCCCACACCAGAAACTGGGTCCCAGCACCTAAATCTTGGACATTCCCACCCCCAGAACTGAGAGAAAAGAGATCTCTTCCATTTAAAGTCTAGAGTATTTTGCTGGAAACTTCAAGCACACTGATTTAGTATTCACTTCCCATTTGACAAAAGATCTTTCACTCTAGCTGAGAGCACAGAGACTCCCACTCCCCTAATCACTGCCTCCATGTTCTTTTTCCTAGAATTACATAATCATTTCAAAAGCGTACCTCATTTTTTTGGGGGGAGGGGTACAGGGATTGAACTCAGGGGCACTTGACCATTAAGCCACATCCTCATCCCTAGTTTGCATTTTATTTAGAGACAGGGCCTCCCTGATTTGCTCGGCACCTTGCTTTTGCTGAGGCTGGCTTTGAATTTGTGATCCTCCTGCCTCAGCTTCCTGAGCCACTGGGGATTACAGGCATGCGCCACCACACTCAGCTCAAAAGTGTGCTTTTTTAAAAATTTAATTTAATTTATGTTTAGTTGCTTAGTTGAACATGCCTATAAGTAAATATATACAGTGTGATATTTTCATACATGTATACCATGAGTAATGATCAAAACAGGGAAGTTTACATTTATGTATCCTTAAATATTTTTTAAAATCTTGATTAATACATGATAATTCTATATATTTAGAGGTACAGGGTGGTATTTGAATGTGTCTATGCAGTGTGCACTGGAAAAATCAAGGTAATTAACATTGCCTCTCTGTATTATTAACTCATACTTAGAGCCTAGTAATTGATAAAATATGTAATAGATTATTATGAACTCTATGCACCTCACTGTGTTGTCCAACATTAGAACTTATTATTTTTGTCTGTGTTTTAGTATCCACCATCCAACTTCCTTCTCCTCCATCCATCCAGCCTCTGGAAGACAGTATTCTACAATCTTAATCCACTCTTCTCCTTTGACTCTAGAACACAGGCATCTCTAGCTGGATCTTCCACAAACCACATGGATATGACCGTATCTCCACAATCTGGAAAACAATGACCTTTCTCGCTCTCATTGAACCCAATTCTGCATCAGGTCAACCTCAGGGAGCAAGCTGGTAAGCTAATACACTAAACATACAACTGCCCCCAGGCACCATGGGTTATGCCACAGCACACGGGGTCAAGACTGACAAACAGAAACAAATACTTCACCTGAGCTCAAGGAGTGTGGGAACACTGGAGGCCCTAAAACACAAGCAGAGAGTTCCTGTGCGGAGACACAGGTATGCATGCAGAGTGATAGGAACCTAAGAACAAGAGACAGAAATCATATTGACACTCTAAGTCAATGACCAGTTAAAATTAGGCACAGTGTACATTCTGCATATATGCCAGTTTCTTTGCCTGTAAGCATTTTGATGAATATCCATGAAGCTTAGTGACACTACACTTGAATATATGTTAGCGAGCAGAGCATCCCACCTATGTGGAGCAGGACTCCTCTCGGCAACCAGAGGAGCTGGTCCCTCTGTGTCACACAGGCGTTCTGTCATTGTGTCATGTATGTGCCCTGCAGATAAAACAATCATTTCCTAGGTAGGCTAGAAAGAGGGAAAGACTGGGAAGCACTGGGAGTAACTGAGGTTGATATTAATTATTTTACTGCAAAATAACCATTAGAATAGAGCGGGTTTTTTTTTTCAAATAAATATTCTTTCTTTTAAAAACTACATGTGTTAGTTATTTTGACACTATAACCAAAATACCTGACAAGAACAATGTAGAGGAGAAAAAGGTTGTTTGGGGCTCTTGGTTTCAGAGGTTCAGTGCATGCTCAGCGACTCCATGGGCAGAAGAGCGTGACAGGAGAAGACTGCTCAGGTCACGGCGACTGGAAAGCTGGGAGAGAATAGAGAATCCAGGTGCAGCAATGCAGAGCCCAAGGACATGCCCCCTGTGACCTACTTCCTCAAGCCGCCCCCCACCTGTCTACATACCCCCAGTAGTCCATTCTAATTACTAATTCATAAAACGCATTAATCCACTGGTGAGGTACAGCTCTCACAACCCAACCTTTTCACTTCTGAACACTGCTGCATTACCTCAAAGCCCCCCCTCGGAACCTTGCTGTGCTGGGGGCCAGGCTTCCAAATTATGATCTTGTCAGGGACTTTGAAGTTAAAAACCATAGCAGTACATTTTCCAATAACATGTTGTTTAGAGATGCATTAAAGCAATACTTTGTAATGAGTTACACGAGCACAGCACTTTGTGCCTTCCAAAGTCCAGAGGCATACTTCATGTTATCATCAATGAATCCCAGATTTTATTATTAGGATGTGAAAGAGCAAAGCTATCTAATTTAAGAGGTTTATAATTTTCTTTCCCAGTTCATCACTCAACACTGATGTTCTGATTAAAGCCCATGGTATTAATGTTCAAGAATATAGGCATTTTTCCAGAATTTCACAGTTAGTTACTACTGCAATAAATTAAGCATGGTTTAATTAATCTAGAAGAGACTGACTCTAGAACAATTAAAGTAACTATGTCCTACTCAATAAATCTCTCATCTTCAATAAGGATGGCAAATTAGTCCCACAAAGATGTGTAATAAGTCAGGACCATGCAGAGGAGGACAGATGCATGTTAAAAGAATCTGATTCTCTTAGATACAACTGAATACTTATTAGACATGCAAGGCCTTTGATAAATCATTTAAAATTATTGACACTGTCAGTTTTATAAATAAATATGAATGCGCTTGCCTTATTAAGGCAAAAACTTTGAAAAATGCTGTGAAGTCATCCACCATACTATAAATATGTTTGGCACCAGCTTGGAGTATAACCCAATAGAATGTAGTAAAACCAGAAGTTGACATTGCAATGAAGAAAGGAGAAACACCATGTTGATTTATAGGAAAAACTCTGCTCTTTAAAACGAAATAAAAGCACCTGTTACCAAGAGAAAATACAAATGCCAAAGGGAATAGTTCTTTTCATAACGTTTTCTACTTAGAACTGCAGAATTCAGCTCAGTAAATCAAAATTGTATACAATAAAAGAAAAGCCAAGAACTAGTTTTATTGTGAAAAGAGTGTTTTAAAGGCTCACTGGACCATCAATTCTGTCACGATGTTGAAAAAACCGGAGTTTACTGTCCAATTGACTCTTTCTTCCAAAATGAATTTTAAATTGGATTGAAACATCATCTATCTATAATATCCTAGGGATGTTAGCATTTGGCACAAAGTCTTTCTGGTTGCTGGTTGAATGTTCGCTCTTTGTTTTCTGTGTGTCTACATTTTTTCCTTTCTTTTCTGCACCCTTTGTTTCTACTAAACGTTTATGGACGGCCTTCTCTTTATGACACCCGGGCTCCAGGGAAAAGTAAATGAAACTTGCTTTTCCTTCAAGGAGTTCATATAATGATGGACACTTATTAATGCTTTTGATTAAAATTAAAATACTGTCATCAGCTTATCCTGGTGATGAATGATACTGATGTGATTATTAACACTATAAACTGCTTCTGATTTTCACTGTCCTTCCTCCTTTGTTCTTTCTTTCTTCTTTCCTTTCTTTCTACCAGGTATCAAACCCAGGCCCTTGCACATACTAGGCAAGAGCTGTACTACTGGGTTATATCCCAGCCTACAGTTCCACATTTGTTGAGGTTCATTCATAGTTTAATTGTACTTAAAAAAAATTAATAGTAACTCAATCTTCTAATAAATGCTCATCTTTAAATTGTGAATAACATTTCAGCATTTTTTGAAATAAGTTTGTATGTTTTTTTGTCTTGAAAAATAACCTAACTTTAGATTGTGCTAAAGTACTTAAAACCAATAATATCTTCAAGGGAATGTGCTGTAACATTACAAATAGAAACAGAGGAACTAGGTAAGTTAAAGATTGATGCTTTAAATGAAAACAAAATATCTTCACCTTTAAAAAGCTAATAATAATCTACATCATGGTTCAATAATGCATAAGTAATTATGAAAATCCAGGAAGTCCCTTCCACTCCTCACTCAGTAAGGAATTTCTCCACTGTGACTGTGGCTCTCATGCACCCCCAGTGTGAGGTCCTTGGGGAGCTGAGTCTTGGGGTCCACCTGTGTCCACGGCAGCCTCAGGTGACTGATGCCCTGGGTACCACTCCTCTCTCCCCTAACACACCAAGCTGTGAAGATCAACTCCTTGCTGGCTGATGGCTCCACTGCTGTCAATGATGCCATGGAGTGTACACTGCCCTACAAAGGAATCTAATTGAAAGGTAGTTCAGTTCACCGGCCCCTGTTTGATATCTGTGTAGAACCAGAAGGGCTTTTTCCTTCCTAGCTGTGCTGCAGTCTGGCTGCAGCAAAATAACCAGGAGGTGACGAACAACTTGTGTAGATGGATACAGCAGGAGTGGGAGCCGTTTATTGTAGGACAGGAGGGGTATATATACATTCCACACAGCTTATCTTAATTAACATAAACTAGATACAGCAGTCAACCAATAAGGAATCTCCACACTTAATGGCTCTCAAACCACTCCCCCTGGCAAAATGCCTGGTGCCATCCTGACTTGTTTACAGACTCTAACACAGCTGTCTTATTAGTCTTCCACTAACGAGGGGAACCAGGATCTCCATCCTGTTCCTTTCACCCCAGTCTCCACTGCTGCTGAGAAGGTCTTTGGAGCCGCCTATCTGACCCCTGCTGCTTCTCCTAGGCAAGTGCTTCAGGATGATGGGAACCAAACGTTGGGAAGTGGCACCCCCAACCCACCCCGTAACAAGCCACAGAGCTGTTTCTTCACTTACCCTGGGCTCCGAGGCCCATTTCCACAGGCACTCAACGATGGCATCAGTTTCACTGGGTAAGAGGCTGGTACAGTCTGCCATGCTCTTCTGCTTGGGGGAAGGCAGTCGCCTATTTTATTATGTTAAGTTGAAGATTTCTAGTCAGAGGGTTTCCAGGCAACTTCTGACACAGTGCCTAACATCCTTGGTCCATGGATGGTCTTTTTCTTTTATGGATTCTGAGATTTTAGAAAGACCCACCTTTTTGTTAGTTCATGGTCTATTTAACTCTGTGTGCTTACTTATCTCCTGGATAGTGCTGCTGTGAATCTCAGCAAAACCTTCAGCAGGACCGCCCTGCCAATCACTTCTCTGCAGCTGTTGGGTCTAAGCCAGGGAGCTGGTTTCACTCAGGGCCATAATAACTGTTTCTAAAGCTCCCTGGGGTGGCCACCTTTGAGCCATTGCACTTTTTTTGGCTTCATGGACTCTTTTATTCTAGGACCCCCTGGTTAGGGCAGCACCTGTTCCTGCATCTGGCTTTCTACTCCTGAGCCTGCCTCAGATTCCAGCATCTCTTTCAACCTCTCCCACCTCTTGATAGATTTTCTCTGAATTTTTGACTTAAATATCATTCTTCACAACAGAAGACTTAGTCACTAATTCCAAAATTACTATAGGAATTTCTCCAGTGTAACCTGTGGCTCTCATGCAAATGAATCCTAGGGTGCCAGTCTTGCTGTCTTGGCTTCTCCAGAGAAACCTGGGAGTAAACGTGGTGATGTCAAGCAACCTGTCCCTCGTCCCACAGATATTCGGCTCTCTTCAGAAAAATAAATGAATCAAAGTAGAGAGAAGAGAAGGAAGAAACAAATGAACTTTAAAACTTATCAGACAACAAATTGAACCTACTCTTGCTACGCACACCGGACCATATCCTGGGCAAATTAATATAGAATATGCATGCTTTATATACATAATTTACTCTGTGTTTAAAATAACTTCTCCATTATGTTCAGTCACTACTCTTTTAAAAGAGTATTTTGAGTTCTCTGCCTCCTAATATCTGCTATGATTTATAATCTTGATCTCTTACAGGTTGTTTCAATCAGTGTTGTCCCCAGTGTTACCTGAAATTTAGTACATGCTTAATACATATTTTGAACATATTGATAAATGAGTGAACCACTTTTTTATGGCTACCACAAACTTTGAATAAGTTTTGATGGTTGGTATCTTTACAGAAAAAAAAAAAAACAGTAGTGAAATCACAGAAAGAGCTTAATTTTAAGGAGCAAACTTTTTAGAAAAACTACTCTAATCTCAGAAACATTTTGTTAAAGCTAATTAACAACTATTAATTTAGCTCTTTTTTACAATATTGCTATTACTGGTCTCCATCTGGTCTAATTAATAAAAATTCTTCTGCAACTAGTTTTGATCATCAGCCAAATTCCGTTTTCCCCAATCTGGCTTGGGTAAGAAATAGTGCAACTCCGTCTGCACAACCCTCCTTTTCTGATAAGCCAGAAGCAGGAGAACTAAGGCTGGTTTCACCGTCACAGCTCCGTGTCGCACAGGCCCCGAATCCCCATCCTGACATTCAGAAGTGTGAAAGAGGTTGAGATTCCAAAGTGCTTCTTCCAGAAAAAGACCTCCACTCCAAACCAGCATCATTTTAGGGGTGTAGACTTGACAGTGTCCTCCGTGGAAGCTGGATGATTCTGAATCATAACCGCTGATTAACATGGAAACTAAAAAGGATCAACAGCCCAGTACCATCCAACGGATAGAGACACTGTGTCTCTAAGATTTGGGGGACAAGGACAGCCTTCTCGGAAGGTTGTCTGACTCCCAGTGGACACTTGGGCCTTGTTGGAGTGTGCCCTCCAACACTCATGCTGGGATTCAATGGCCGCGGGAGCAGCACTGAGAAGTGGGACCTGGGAGGGTGATCCGCCCCAGGACTCTGCTCTTGAGGGTGGATCAGGGCAGTTATAAGGGGTTGAGTTCATTAGCACAGGACAAACTCGCCCCTCTGCCTCTTTCTCTTCCGCCCTCTGCCTGGACTGGCAGGAAGGGCTTCACCAGGCAACAGCGCCTGGGGTCCTGGTTCCCAGCTTCCAACGAGGAGCCAATCCAGTTCTGTTTATTATAGATTTTCTAGTCTGCGTGGTTCTGTAATAAAATGGTCTAAGACAACGTGATGACCAATAAAATGGTCTAAGACAACGTGATGACCAATAAAATGGTCTAAGACAATTTGCAACAACAATCTGTATTTTTTCCAAGGCTTTCCAATGATAAAAATTTATATTCAGAATAAGAATGATTCACATTTCAGTAACTTATTATCTGACACAAAATGTATTTGGTCTTCAGCTACAGATCTTCTGCATCTCCTAGGTATGGCTGTTCTCCTCTGACAGCCGGATTGACTGTGCTGTGGATTATGGAGCCACACCTGTCAGTCACCTGTTGTCCCAGTGTTATCATGACCTTGTTCGACTACTAAAAAAGACTCAGTGACAACAACAAATTATAGAATTACTTTCCTTATGGTGATTATTGACATAGCACTCCTCAGATATGGCCTAGTACAATTGAAGTAGAAATAAAAATTCATGAACATAACCTAGCTTTTATAGGTTCAATAATTCTGTTAACTAAAAGTAAAATTAAAATCATTTCAAAATAAAATAGACCCTATTAAATTAACAACTATCTGTTAGGAATTCAAACAATTAGTATTTGTCTCTGAAAAAGTTTTAGTAAACCTTTCCCTCAATCACCAAAAAAAGGAATATACTCCTGTGAGAGAAATCAAATATAATATGTTTTTTTATTTATGATTATTGTGGGCATGCAATTTTAAGGTCTAATAGTTTGAGTGACAACAAAATTATGGCCAACAAATTTATTACATCACTTGTTTATATTTACTTATGAATTATCTCTCTCTATTGTCCATTTGTCTATAATTAAAACTCAAGTCATGGGCACATAGTTCTTCTCAAGTGTGACACCTTCTCACAGGTGCCACCACCCCAGAAAGTCTTTTTTAACCACTTTATCTCAATGATGCCCTCCCTGTCTTGTGGATGCTCTGTATCCCCTGACTTCTATTCTCTTGGTAATTATCATGGACATTCTAATTCTTTATTTGCTTCCTTATGTATTTACCTAATTACTTATTCTCTGTCTTACGAGAAAAGTACACAGAGATGTAAAAGCAGAGAATCACTCTTACAATTCAACATTTTAGAGAATCAGGAATTTCCTGGAAAACCGTCCACACCCAGTAAAGGTTTTTGGATAAACAGAAGGTAAAAAAAAATAGTATAATCCAATGTTTTAGTCTTTTCACTGCTGTGACCAAAAGACCTGACAAGAACAATTAGAAGAGGAAAAGTTTACGTGACGTTCACAGTTTCAGAGGTTCTCAGTCCATAGGCTCCATTCCTTGGAGTTGAGGTGAAGCAGAACATCAGGGCAGAAAAATGTGACAGAGGGAAGCAACTCAGGACTTGGCACCAGGAGTGAGAGAGACAGAGACAGACAGACAGACACTCTGTGCCGCAGTCTGGCTGCAGCAAAATAGCCGGGAGATGACGAACAACTTGTGTAGATGGATACAGCAGGAGTGGGAGCCGTTTATTGTAGGACAGGAGGGGCATATACACATTCCACACAGCTTATCTAATTAACATAAACTAGATACAGCAGTCAACCAATAAGGACTCTCCACACTCAATGGCTCGCTGGCGTTACTTCACAAACCACTCCCTCTGGCATTTTGCCAGGCGCCATCCAGACTTGTTTACAGACCCTAACATTTGGCACCAGGAATGAGAGAGACAGAGACAGACAGACACACACTCTGGTTTCTATGAACATAATATACACCTAAAAGTTTCACCTGCAGTCACCCACCTCCTCCCACACACCGGCCTCCCTCCAGCGACCACTCAGCTAACCCCTATCAGGGGTAACTCACTGGTTGGGTTAAGGCTCTCATAACCCAATCGCTTCACCTCTGGGCCTTCTTGCATTGTCTCACACGAGTTTTGGGGGACACCTCACATCTAAACCATCACACCCAGAAACTTACATCTTGCTTTATTTCCTATCTTGTGTTCTTCCTTCCCCTTCTGTTCCTCCTCCTTCCTGTCATATCATCTCTGAGATTCCTGCTGTGACATTGGCAGGAAGGAGACGCATCTTGTAAATACACTGATTAGCAGGTTTTACTTGTATCTTGGTATTTTCTAGGTAGTAAAATAAAAAGTACCAGCTCTTCCCATATGCTGAATTAACTTAACAGAAAGCTGTTAAAAGATTCTAAACATTTGTTAAATAGAGAGAACTTTAGTTTTCCCCTTTTGGGGTAGAAGTGCAAAAGAAAAAAGAGATCTGTCACAGGAAATGGAGAAGCTATGTTTTCCTTGCAAAGCAGAATTCAGTGACTGATTCTCAAGTTCCTATGGAGGATTGAAGATGAACTAGAGCTACTCCAATGATTCATCCACACCCATAGATAGTGTGGCTTTTTTAGATGCACCTGCTCTCTCTCAAGTCCACTTCTCTTTCTGCTCATCTCAGTGTCACACTGGGTCAGGAAGCTATGCCCGGTTTTCCTGGTTTGTCCAGGAAGAATGAGGCCCTCAGATCCCTGAGAATGTATTCCTGTCTATTCTGGCTCCTTCAAACTTCATGACAGTACCCCGCATGCACCTGCTAGCCTTGCTCCTCTTGGAATCAACGCTGAACATGTAGCTACTCATATCAAAGCATCAACACATTGGAACTTACTTCCTACACCCACGCAGACCTTCCTGAAAGTATTCCCACCCCAATCTTCCCAAGTCACTGTGCCAAAAACCTTGGAGCAACTTTGATTTCTCTTTTTCTGTCGTCTCACAGCCATCTGTCAGCAAATGTGGTTGGATTAATGTTGAAATTCTGTCGAGGCTCTGACAGCTCCTCCCTGCCTCTCTTCCTACCAGAGTGTCCCCACCCCCATCACCTTTTGCCTCACGATGGTGGCACCGCCAGGCTCCCTGTTTCCACTGTCACCCCTGGTAACCCTCCTAAAGCAAGCCCAGGGTGATGTTCTAAGTGCATGTGGAATCATGCCAGACTTCTGGGCAAACTCACCTAACAGCTTCCCGCTTTCCTCACGTGAGGGTACCAAAGGCCAACTGCCTTCCGAGTTCAACAGAGGCCAGTGCTGTCTGTCCGTCCCCCAGTGTACCTTTGACTTCTGTTCTTTACGCCTCCTCTCTCACCTCTAGGCCCCTTTCCTCCCTGCCTCTCCACCAGCAGGCCAGTGAGTCTCTTGCCTAACTAGGAGAATTGCTTTTCCCTCTACCTAGGAGGTTCTCCCCAAGTTATCTTTGCTGCCTTCCTACCCTTGAAGTGCGCGTTCAGTTGCACCATCATCGCAATTTGGAGACAATATAAAGTGCTCCAATACCTCATCTTCACATTTGCTCCAGAGAAAATTTCCGTACGGCAACACACACACACACACACACACACACACACACACAAACACATGCATAATTTCAAACTCCATGGTTGGAAGAATCCCCGTTGGTTTGGGCTGTTTCCTCACTCTTTACAACAATGCATGGTAAGCAGTGGGTAGCAAGTATTCCTCAGTCGAGTTTCTCTCTTGTTGTTGGGACTCCAGAGTCACCAGGATGACTTGGCCGCCTCTTGATGGCGACTGGGATGACATTCCAGTGCTGAGGTTTTCCTGAGACTCTCCTGGGCTCTTGCTTCTACAAATGTTTTCTACAGAATTGTTTCTCACGGGACGCTCCATGCCCTCTGGTAAGGTCGGCAGCCCGTCATGGTCGGCTGAGACCCCAGGACTCTGTGGACTTTGGCTTTTCCGTGCCAGTAGGAATGTGAGTGTGCAGGAGTGGGTCTTGAGAACTAGTCACTTGCCCTGCGCGTAGAACTAGGGAAACCCGCTTCGGTTTTGGCTTCCCTCAGACTCCCCCAGTCCCACCTCCAGGACTCAGGCTGGGAACAAGGAGGCACGGGGACTTGCATTCCCCCGTCTACCCTCCTGTCCCCTCTCTGTCCCTGCTTCCATTCCCATGGTTCCCTGGATGAGGGATTTGTTTTTCTGTTTCTTCATGTTCTTATCAAACCCCGAGGTCTCTCTCTCTTTTATTCAGCATTTTCACTGCTCTGACTAAGAGGCCTGACAAGAACGATTTTAAGGATGGAAAGTTCATTTGGAGGCTCCTGGTTTCAGATGCCTCAGTCCACAGACAGCAGGCTCTGCGCCTGGAGCGAGGTGAGGCTGAACCTGCCGGCAGAGAAGGCGGCGGAGGGAAGCAGCTCACGTGACCATCAGGAATTAGAGACTCCATTCACCAGGCACAAATAGATATGTACCCCAAAGGTACACCCCAGTGACCCACCTCCTCCAGCCACACCCCACCTACCTTCAGTTACCACTCAGATAATCCATCAGGGGGTGATTCACCGATGGGTTAAGAGTCTCGGAACCCAATCGTGTCTCCTCTGATCCTTCTTGCATTTTCCACAGATGAGCTTTTGGGGACACCTCACATCCAAACCATAATACTACCACTACCTTGTGGTAGAATTCTAAACCTGCTTAGGCTAAGAAAGATGCAAGTAATACCGAAAAGCCATTACTTCTCTTTCCATGAAACCTGAAATTATTTGTTGTCGTGTACCTAGAAAATCAACTTGAGACTCCAGGCTGATCATGGATCTCCACCACTGTCTCTGGGTAAAAACACTCTACTGAGCAAAGAAAACGTTTAGATCAAAGTAGATGCACAAGGGCCCTTAAAGAATATGAACGAAGAAAGCCAAGGACAGACAGTTTTCTTCCCCAACTATTTTCCTGTGAAGGAATGGAACTCCACTTTCTACATTCTAGTCAGCACTCCCCTGGCTCTCAGACTTGTTCTCGGGAGCTTAGGTGCCTGGCGACTGTAAGAACGAGTGCTCTGGAGAACAATCTCTGATGACCACCGTGAACATGGGATCAGGATGGAAAGGTCACATTTCAATCCTCTATGACAAAAAATAATGAATATTTACTGAGTGTCTCTGGCATTTCAGTACATTTTAAACACGGCGTGGAAGGGCTAATGAGGTTTTTCTCACCAGTGAAATAGAATAGAGTCTCTCAAAGCCAGATCCTTTCATTCATTGCTGTGACCTTTTGGAATCCAGCTGCATGGTCTGTGCTGTCTGTACCGACGGATGTTCCAACAGAGGAGGAAACACTCGCAGGAGTCCCTGAATATCGCCCCTACCTTCTGGAGCGTTCTGCCTTCACTCCTTCCTTTCTTCCTTCTGCCCCTTTCTCTCGAGTTTGCTCAGTGACAGAGGTCTGGATCCAGGTCCCGCTCACCTGTTCTTTAGCCCTTGGCTGGGTCCTGGGCTGAACCCCTCTCCCCATC